ACTAAAGCAGAATGTTGAGACAAAGGTGAAAGCAGACACGGAATCGTCATGGAGACAACTTCAAGCAAGTCCAAAGACCCTCGCTGTTACCATAGCAGCCTATCTTATGTACATTGTACTCCATGTGTCTGTATGCGGGTTATCAGGCGTGGGTGTAGTATTATTCCAGTCTGGCTGCATGGCTGATGCTACCTTTGATTGTACACCAACATTAAATGTCATCACTGAGCTGGCGCCTGGCCTGAATATGATTTGACAGCAAAATGTAAAGCACCTTACAGGCCTCGTATAATTTGATCTTTGCTTTAAATTGCAGGTTTTGTACAGAATTTGTGGGTTTGTTTCAGTTTTGGGACGGGATACCAGCAAAGATCAGGTAAGAAGTGAGAAAGTACAGAAAAATAAAAGTAAATAATATGTAATTTTTTATCTTGTATGCATTTCTTTGCAGATTTTTCTATACTGGGGTCACAATAGCTAGCAAACAAATAACCAAGAGGACAAAGCACTTAAATTAGTGCATGACAAAGCAACAGATCCCAAACAAAGGTGGTGTGTAGTAGGATGGTAATAAGAAATACTATGCTGCGTTCATATTTAAAAGGCAGTTATATATGCATCAATAAAACTGGTCTGTTCAAGAAAATAGATCCAGAGTCTGTTCAATATAAATTAAATCCGTTGCTGATAATTAGAACAAATTCTCTTCATAGGACAGTGTGAAGATGTGACAAAAAAGTTAAAGAAAGAAAGAAAAATCAATCTCCTCTGCAAAACAATCTCCTTGGAAGACCTTCAGGTTCATACAGTCTGAGGCTCCTCACAGCCTGCTGCGGAAAAACCGCTGTTCCAGGCTTCTGCTTCGAGCCATCGAACCTGAGGAGAGATCCTGACCTCTGTTAACACACTAGCTGTGCTGTGAGTGAGATTGGCTTTTGGAAAAGGCAGCCATGGAAATAGCTGGCAGAGCTTTTTTAAGCTGTGGGTTCAAGCGTGGCAGCACACCTTGGGCTTGTTCAGTTCTGGGGACACGAAAAGGTTGTTCAAATGTCACCAGCAAACCCCCCAACCCCTACCCCAAACACAGCGCTGCACCAGCCGCGAAAGGAGTTATTTGTGAATGTCTCAGATGCCCTGAGGCCGTGGTGTGTGTGACAGATTGTGCATTTGTGACTCTGTGTGTGATGACTGTAAATGAGAGCAGTTCAACACTGAACATGACACTTGCGATCTCTGATATCAACCTAGCCGGCCATGGGCCACAAGCTGCTAAACGCTCAGTAACTTAGTCGAGCCCAGTGCTGCTCACATTAGGGATCCTCACGAGGTCAAAAACCTCTCTGTGGGTCCCTAACACAGGACCCCTGGTGAGACACAGTGCCTATTTACCACACTAATGGCACTTCCAACAGAACGGCAGTCCAATTACTTAGAATTCAATCAGCATTAACGTTGTCACCGAGCACAGACAACAGACATTTGTCATTTGCCTCACTTCCCTTTTACCCTCCCTCTTCCATCTTCCCTCAGTTCCATTCATTTGGTGCAGCTATTAATAGCCCCACCAACCGCCTATCAATACCATCACTACTCCAGCAAGACAGAGGATGTGGGCGTGGTCCAGGCAGCGGAATGAGAATAAATGAGCTGAACTACAGAAGCTTGGTCTTATGTAACCAGGGCGAGAAAGAATTGGGGGAGGGAGCGAAGGGGAGAAGGAAGGAAAGGCACAGAATAACATGGCTGATACGATGGAGAAAAGTGAATGTGAGCAATAAAAAAAGGAAGACAGAAAGTGAGTGACTGTGGGAAACAGAAAAACGGGAAAGAAAAGGCAGACAAATGAAAGGGCAGCAGGAACACTGTCCAATATAACACATGAAGATGAGAGATTAAGAGAAACATTAAGAAACTTTCACTGCAACTAAAAAAATCTGTGCCTTAGGAAGAAGTCTGCCAGCTCTCTCTTAACATTTACACACATTCCTTTTCTCCTCTCAGTCACTATCAGCCTCATATTTATGGGTCCACGTTCCTCCCTCTCACAATTTTTCTTCTTTCCATCTATTCCCCTCTCCCTCTGCTTATTGATTGAGGCAGGTAGTTTTACCCGCTCCTGTGTGGCAAAGAGAAAGACTATGTTATTATCAATAAAAAGGAGGATCTCTGTCTACTTTGAGTGTTTATATCACCTCCTCCTACTGCTGCTGCTGCTGCTGCTGCTGCTGTCTGGTCCAGTGGGGATCGGTCCCATTACAGACTGGTGTGCAAAGGTCTCACAGTGTCAGAATGGGTCACTGACTTTATGCAACTGCCTGGTCACAACCACTAAAAATTACACAAGACTAAGATAAATCAGATCAAAATCTGCACATATCAAGGAAATGTAATGAATATGTCCTGGGTTAAACATGTTGGATTGGTATTGTTTCTCATTTTCCTGCAGTGTGCAACTGAGTGAAAGGAATCTTCATATGGTCAGATGTTGTTAAGCTGTAGTATCATAATTAAGAGCAGTACTATTCCCACAGTTGACCTTCGTTAATCCGTTCATTTGGGAAAACGCAACAGTCAAAGTTTAGAAGCGTTGCTACTCTCGCCTAATTTAACATCAGCATCCATTTGAACTTCTTCTCATTTCTGCCCTCCTGAACTCTAACCTATTATTCATACCCTCCCATTAAAGAAGGGGAAAAAAACAGCTGTCACTGAAAAAAGTTGACAAAAGTAATAATAAATAAAAATGTAATAAAAATCATGACATTGCTTTTGAATTGTGGTTCAACAGAGACATTTAAAAAAAAAAAAGAGCATGATGGGACCCATAAACTAATATTTAACATTCTGTTGAACAATTCTTCGAGCCAATCGCTGCAATCAAGGGTTTTCTGTAACTCACAATCAGACTGTGCTCTAATTTGTATGGGACAGTTGTTTTTTGTTTGTTTTTTTTCTTTTCAACCACAATTACAAAACAATGTCTTACTTCAATAAACATTAATTTAGCAAAATTTTCTTTATTATTATTTTTTTCAGTTTCTACTTATTTGAGTGACTCTTGTGAATTTTGCCTTTTCTGTAACGGGAGGTTCTGAATAAATTAGAGGATGACTGTACATTGTGACCTTCTACTATGAGTTATAATATTGACAACATGTGCGTTACATACTTTTGATTGCCTGTTTATGTGGTTTTAGATTAGCACAAGTCATTCTCCAGTAAAACATGCAACAAAAAAAAACATGTGAATTTGTGCACTGAAGTCCATTTGTGTTATTTGTTTTGTCTGTCACATGAATCTGGTGGGTTCATCAATTTAGCAGCAGCATGATTTAATGTGTGGCAAGCCAAAATCCCAGGTTTTTTTTTTTTTTTTTGCTATTTTGACGAGCGTCACCACATGGAGGGCACTTGAACGACGTCGATGGCTCACTGAGGTGACAGTGGTGAATTCAGCCACCTCATACTGTCATGCACACAGGCTGAAGTGGCCTCCATCTGACGACACAGCCGGTGTCTCTGTTCCATGTTCATAAGTCAGGCAAAATAAGCCTCTTACGTCCAACGTGTTTCAACATGAAGACAAGCTGGAAGCAACTTGTACCTTTTCACATACGTTGACGATATATAGACCCAGTTTTTTTTTTGGTCATACGAATGAGACATCACCAGTTTAACATGTCGAATTAGCAAAAAATGGAAGCTCGGTTTGCCATATATTTTCTTTCCATTTTCAAATGCCAGGAAACAAAATCTGGCATTTGCTGGAGCCATTCAATCGTTTGGATTTGCTGCAACGATTTTGTCTGTGTCCTCATTAAATTTCATGGCTCTGGGAATTACATTTCTGGAGATATTAAACCATTAAATTGGCTTCTCGGGTAAGATGGGTGAAAATACAAATATTGTCAGGTCTGGAAACATATGAGATTCTTAATCTTTTGCCAAAACATTTCACAGAACTCTGTTTTGGGTCCTGAATAACAAATAAGTAAATCCTGCAAAAAATCTGAGACAGTAGAGCAACAATTGTCCTAAATTCTGTCTGAATGACACGAATCTTTTAATCCCTTGGTTCTAACCAAATAACATACGAAACGGACTTGGATTCAGTTTGCAGACACTGCTCATGCACAAGAATTTGGCCCACACCTTTATGACAGCATCTTCACCATCCTAGCTCAACTGACCCACCAACTGCACCAAACAGGTCATATGCGAACACAGCTTTAAAAAACATCCAACAGTTAAATATTAAAGGTCCAAAAATTCACTTTCACTTCTTGCAAGCTCTCTGGGAGGCCAAAGGGCCAGCACGAGCTGTCCTGAGACAGCACCGCATGCATTTTAAATGTCACCGCTAAATTAAAGTGTTCTCCGATCTGACACACAGTTCAGAGGAACAGCTCTAATGAACTGCAGTATCAGTGACGCCGGGTGGACATATGACTGCACAAAATAGGGACAAATATTTTCATCAAGGCGACACAATCTCGTAATGGTTCACACCACGCATCTGGTTTCCCACCATAACACAACGAACCCTTCACCTGGAAGAACCAATGAACTGTCTATGTAAGGTGGAGGGAACATCCACATGCAAGAAAAAGATAAAACACCAGTATAGTGAGACTATAAGCAACATGTGGATATTTCAACATGAACATGGAGGAAGACAACTATACACATCATTCTAAGTCCAAGTACATCTCGACTTTTGTTAGAAATCATTTTTTTGAGCTACAGCGAACACACAAGATCCAGCACAAACCATGAAAAGCTTGTTGCCTTGACAGCCCTCAAGTCTGGATGTATTTAAAAAAAAATAAAACAAAAATAAAATAAAATCTTTGAAAACTTGCACACTCATGTATGTACGTGAGCATCCAGGACATGTTTTGGTGTCAGCTTGTGCATCATAACCGCAACTTCTCATCAGCAGTTGTCCCTCCCTGGTCTGCGAGTGTGTGTGCGTGTGTGTGTGTGTGTGTTGAGTTTACCTTGGTGATGAGGATGCGGTAGTGCTCAAGCAGGTCATGGTTGTCGTGGCAACCAGCCAGCAGCTGCCAGACTTCAGCTCTGAGTGGCTCAGGAATGCCACTGCGAACCAATGAGGGCAAACCCTTTGGACGACTGGACAGGTTCCCATGCCTGGCGCGCACACACACACACACACACACACACAGACAAAAGTAATCCACTGTTTCAAAATGTCACTCAGTTCGGTTCAGCCACTTCATTAATTTGAAGTGCAGCTGGACTGATTTGATAATTACTTTATTTTAGTATGTCCTGTGGGTGTGACACGATAACATGTGGGCAGTGACAGCACAAGACCAATCGAGTCAATCACAGGTGTGGGTCTGTCGCACTGAAGTATTCATGCTGCACAAAATAAACGCAGTTCTGTCTCAAAAACAAAGTGGTTATTAATTATAGTATAATTACTTCAGAACGTACTCGGGTTGTTTCTCACTTTGGTTGCCGAGTAGGATGGGCTGACTGAACCCCTCGTTACCTATTAATACGAACGCACACAAATATACTGGGAGCTGCTTCGTACAGCAACACAACTCTGACGTTGCGTTGTTCTCCCACATCTCGGCTCAAGCTTCACGTCCTCATTGCTTTACTAACTCCAGTACTAGTTATAGCATTGCCGACCTCATTGAATAACACATCGTATATGTATTCATGCAGTACTCCACTAACAAAACGACCGAGTACAATACTGTAGTCTGGAGTAGCAGTGTTGTGCTCCCACATGAGGAAAAAAAAAAGAGAAATCTGCTTTTGAAAACACACTGTCAGCTCTTTTTAATGATGCTTGAAATCTCATCATAATGCATTTATTGAGGCCATATGAAAGCAATTTCCCCAATAAGCTTCACTACATTGTGCTGATGCAACAGCAAGAAAACAGGCTGGCAACTCAAACGAAAAGCCTGAATCATCTTTTATTCAGTTAATAATGTATGTATGTATCTAAAGCTGTACGTATCAGTGCTGCTTCGTGTAAAAGCTCAAAAAGTATTAACAAAAAAAAAAAGACAGTTTGGGTTATACCAGATAAATTAAGTGATATAGAGGCTAGAGAATAAGAATTTGGACTGCGCATGTTGTCTGCTCTTTAGGCTTTGTGCTGCAGCCAATTCCATTTGAAATGAAAAAAATATATATGATGCTGCATTAAAGTGCCAAGTCTGGGCTTTAATTTGAGTAGGTAGACCATATAAACTGGGAGAATAAAACAATCAAGCTGCCATAATGGAGCGAACCCAGGCTGTATATCACACTCTGTATGAGGCAGGGAGGGCTTCACTTCCTGTTGGTCATCCACATGTGATGAAGGCAACACAGCTGGAAATCTGAACACTTCATTAAGATGTTAAAGTCCCTCTACTAAAAACGGAATTACTCCAAATGCTGTTTCTTTAAGACATTTCACAAAAACGTTGTGTCTGATATTCGGTATAGTCAGAAACATTAAGCTCCCCACTGACGGTCTGAACCAAGTTCTTCATATTCAACAACGTTAACATCATTCATGCCTCTTAAAATCAATGTTTTTAAATGAGGCACACATTTATCTGCACATTCCTCAAGTCTCCCTGTCTTCTATTGTGCGTTCTAATCATTCAGACGTGTGTAGTTTGACTCTAACCAGTGATCTCCCCCCATCCATATTCCAAATCTCTGTCCGGATTTACTCCTTCTTCATGTTTTTCCTCAATGCCCACACTTCTCGCTGTCTTTTCTGAAGCCCTACCATCTGTTGAGGATTCCTCCCCAGGACTCCAGTATTTTCTCAGGACAGTCTTTGGAAACGTCTCCCGTCCCGCTCGAGATTTCACTGTCACTATCTGAAAGACAGAGAAGACACACTCACACATTAATATACATTCAGAGCACGACGTGGATGATATCTGTATCATAAAGCTACTCTGATACACAATGCTCATTTTAAACATGTTTAATACTGATGCCACACAGCTAAATGGAGGCAGGAGTGCCTGTGCAGTGCCTACACCTTCCATTACTGCTGTTCTCCCGTCTGGCAGTTCGTGAGGCAGACAAGAGGCAATCAGCACAACGAACCACTTGTGTTTAGATGCAAAAGCACTAATTGACTGTCTGGCCCGCTCTGCTGCTGGAGAGATGAACTGGTCCCCACACAGAAACCACCCACTGGAACCAACGCACATGCAATCCACACACAGATTAGCAGAATATGTCTGGCATGTGTGCTGCTAACATGGATTTTATAACACTGTATAATGTATACACCTGTCTAGTATGGTGTAGGTCCCTTTTGTGCTGCCAGAACAATGCTGACCTGTCCAGGCAGGGACTCCACAAGACCTCTTAAGGTGTCTTGTTGTCTCAAGCACCAAGACATGACCAGCTGTAAATTGTGAGGTGAGGCCTCAACGGATTGGAACAGTTTTTGCAGCTCGATGGAACTGAGATTCGGCAAATTTGGAGGCCAAGTCACCACCTTGAGTTCTTTGTCATGTTCCTTAAATCCTTCCTGAACAATGTTTGCAGTGTGGCAGGGAGTATTGTCCAACTGAAAGAGATCATCAGAGAATACTGTTGTGATGAAGGGGATGTGTTGCCTGCTGCCATGTTCAGTTGGGTGGTACATGAAAAAGCACCGTCCACATGAATGCAGGACTAAAGGCTTCCCAGCAGAACATCGCCCAGAGCATCACACTGTCTCTGCTGGCTTGAATTACTTCCATATGGCATCTTGCTGCCATTCCTTCCCCGGGCAAAAAGCGCATACACACCACAACCGTCCACACGATGCAACCAAAAACATGTTTCATCACATCAGACCACCTTCTTCCTCTGGTCCGGTTCAGAAGCTGACGGGCCCTTTGTAAACACCTAAATGTGGGCTGGGGTCAGCATTTTCCCCACCGTGTGTTCTTACTTCTTTCCATCATAGCTGGCTCCTTGCGCTACAGCAGCTCTTCACCACACAGTCCAACCTTTACCACCCAACACCCCGTCTGACAGGAGTCTGACACAGTCGTCCAGCCATCACAATTTGGCTCTTGTCAAAGCCACTCGGATCCTGGCGCGACTCATTTTTCCTGGTTTCAACACATCGGCTTCGAGAACCAACTTGTCACTGCCCAATATGTCCCCCTGTTGACAGGTATGGCCACTGTATAGATAATCAGTGTTGTTCACCTCCCCTGTCAGTGTTTTCATGTTGTGGCTGATTGGTGTGTGTTACACCGGAGAAGATGCTGAAATGAGTTTCACATTGGATTAAAAAAATATATTGGACAGTTATAAGTGACACACACATACAGACACTCACATCACGATCCATCTTCTTCCTAAATTATCTGATTGAAATAAGACCGCTACAGGTCGAAAACAACCACAAGAAAAAACTAAACCACAAAAACATGTCCAGTCTAACACGGTTCAAGGATCTTTATCATAGAATTCAATGACCTAAATAACTAAGAATATTTATGGACATATCTTGCTGTTACAGCAATGTCTCTGGTTGAAATTTGTCTTCAAAGAAAATAGATGTTTAAATGCGTCATTCACTCCCGATGAAGACTCCAGTAAGGACTTGACATTTAGGATATGAGGCAGATGTCTTCTTGGAGGACATGCTGCCACTGTGCTCACTGCCCCGCTGCTCCTATACATCCTCACAACCTCAGCAGGAGCTTTTCAGGTCTTCATAAATGCTTGATGAGTCGTTTCGAATGGTTCAGATCCAGCACAAAGCTGCTGCCGCTGTCCTCAGATTTGCTGGGGCCACGTGGCGGGGAAGCGTGAGTCCAATAACGCTGCCATCTTACCAGGTGATGAAAGAAACAGCGAAGACGAGGGCCATTACTGTTACCTTTTAATCTGGAGAGGGACTGCATGTTCACTGTGGGATTACTTTCAAATGGGATCTCTCTGATGTTCAAGTCACCGGTGAATTGGTTTTATCTATGTTAAAGCCAGCAGAAATGTCCTATTAGTATCACAGAGATGTGTTATTTATTGCCGATGCGTTGCTCTCTTCAATGGACTTTGGTTTTGAACAACACTTCTAGTTTGACAGCTATGTACTGATTCAAAAAAATCTGCTTCTCTCCTCACTGTGTATGTTTAGAGATACAGGATGGTTCCAGTTATAACTGATGAAGCAGAGGGACTGTATAGATAAAGGTGTGTGTATGATCACCGTTTGTGTGATGCATACGAAACAGGAGCACACAGGTTTTGTCTATCCGTCTGTGAGCATGTGTGTGTGAGACACTGTGACAAAAAACAATCACACAGCATGCTGCGTGAAAGGAAAAGCAAAGAAAAAAAGAAAATGTCAGCTTCAGGCCTATTTTCCACATTGTAGCTTCCACGGGGGGAGAAAAAAAATATCCACATGAATTGAACGAGTGTGTGCGCAGAAGTGGCGTCTACACTAGGAGTGAATTCATTTCTGCACACAATGAGGCTGACCTCCAGCTCCGCGGCCCTGAGCGCCTCCAATTTTCAGCTCTGGGGGAGGAGAAGGGGCGGCATAGAAAAAGCCCTTTGAATGGCTCCCACAGTGCCAGCTGAAAGCCGTCAGCTCCAGCCTTGGTGGCTGACTCGTGACTCTGGTCGATTCGACAGACAGACAGACAGACATCGGAGAGACGATTTTTGTCTTCCACTCTGTTAATATGTTTCAGCGCTTCAAGGAGAAAAGGCACACGACTGTTTACAGCCGCAGAGGATTGAGAGATGAAGCACGGTGAGATGAAGACAAGCCTCCAAAGTTAGACGGCCCCCCGTTGCTCCATCAAAATTTTGAAGAACGTTTTCAACAGAAGTTTCTATTGTAACAGCATGTTTTGTAAAGATTTGTAATTCACTCTCACGGAGGCGATATTCCACCGCAGAGCTCTGATTGCTGAACCATAAAACTGCAGAAATCTGTCTCCCATTAAAATGTCACAGGTTTCCCACATAGGTTGGACTAATTAACCTGTATGTTGTCCACAAACGCTATTATGATTCGCATAAATAAAATAAATAATACGGTGAAAAGGTGTTTTTTGCTATGCATACATTCATAATGAAGACATTTTAGTCAATGAGATCTCCATTTGCATTCATTTGGCTGCAGTGAAGCATTATTTTACCCACCGCGGAGGGAGAAACTCACCTAAAGAGACACAGGAATATGCACACACACACCGAAACCAGCAAAATGAACACCTAAGTGTGCACCTTTATCCAAATTAGTATTATCATGAAGCGTGCAGTCTGAATCGTGGCCAGGCCTAATCTGCGACACCTGCTCTACCTACCCAGTGGTCAGGTGGAAATGCCAATCCTGTTTATATTAGCGGGCTGAAACTGGGTCATGTTTGGAAACCACTGGAGTCTAACAGCCAGGGTTGGTGCTGTTTGTGCTGCTGCTGTTTTACCTCTGTCCCTTTTGGCTATGCTGCTATTACTGACGGTAAAACATCCACTCTGCTCTGTCACCAAAACCAATCACGTTCAGGCTCTTAATCAAAACACAAGGCTGATAAGTCGCTCTAATCGGAGTGTTTGTGCTAAACGGCGTGTTTGCACCAGCGGTCAGGAGACACGTTTGGAATAAGAAAACCCGAACAGTTGTTTTTGTATTCTGTGTCATATGTCGCCTTGTATTTAATTTTCACCTGAACAACAGATCATCATTAATTGGAACATTTAAAAAAAAACAAAGGCATTAAAGCAAACCCCCTTCCATGATATGGTCTAGTGCAGTGGTCTCCAACCACCGGGCCGTGGGTCATTTGGTACCGGGCCGCACAGATAGAATAAAAACGTTTTATTAGTTTATTTTTATTTCCAGCGAAGTCTGCAGGATGTTTTATTTTGAAACATGACTAGCTCGTCTTCCCGTCACTTCTGTTTGTGTTCGTTTCCCGCACTTGACTGTCAGTTTTTATGCCCGGCTGCTAAACGAAGCCGTCAGTCAACAACAAACGTCTCAGGAGAGCTGCTTTGGAAAGTGGGAGAGACTTAATACTGAGACAGAAGAAAAAGTAAACATGTTAAGCAATAAAAATTAATTTTATTCATTTATGAAACTTTTCAATAGAAAGAAAAACAATTATTATTATACGTATGTGCGTAATGACCGGTCCGTAGAAAAATTTCTTGCTTAAAACCGGTCCATGGTGCAAAAAAGGTTAAAGACCGCTGGTCTAATGGATTGAAGAAGACCGTTCACATCCTACTAGAAGGCCATGTGAGAGGTGTTGGATGCTGCTTGACACCTCAGTGCTCCAGTGCTATAAGCCAACAAGCCCTAACAGGATTGGGCCGAGCTCCACACGCCTGATGCACAAGCACACACACACACACACACACACACACAAGCGTGCATAATCACACAAATAACTCTGCAAAACCCCTGAGACTGTACCTGCAGCTCACTGCTGTGCACAATGCAACACATACAAATGCACAAAATCTGTTGCGAAACACAGAATCAGACTCATTCCACATAATCCGTCCACACTGATGTCACATGCCTTGCAACGAACATAAACATTTCAAACACACACATGTGCATAAATCCCTGCCAATGTTTACGCCCCTAAACAAAATTAAACTTCACTGCTGATGTATGTCTGTTAATAAATAGCGTACACGTGCTTGTGACAAGGCTGTGCAACACAAATAGAATGAATTTGTGTGTGTGTGTGTGTGTGTGTGTGTGTGTGTCGCTAAGCCTCCATTTCAGAGTGCATATCTGGACATATGATCTAATTTAGATGAGGCCTTCACACAACACTGAAAAGAAACGTGACTGTTGGATATATATTGCTCCCACCAACAAGCTATTTGTGGTGAACCAATTCCATTCTTTGTCATGCCTCCGAAGGTACACAGAAGTGGCGTTTTTCTCTCTCTCTCTCTCTTCAGATATTCAAAGCGGTGTGAGATTTGTATGGGGCTGAACAATGCAATGTCACATTTTCAATCAAGCCTTGGAGGACAAATTATGTCGACTTCTCGCACGTGTGTCTGTAGGAATGTGTGTGTTTGAGAGGACGGCTTTCGGTAGAATAAGTGCGGCATCGCACGCAGAGAAAGCTTCAGAGAGAATTTCTGCATTGTTGTTTAGTACATACTTTAAAGGATTAACTCAACTAACAGTGAGTGGGCAAATACTGAGCAACTGCAAAGAGAGCGAGAGTACCTTCATCAGCCTCCTCTTCCTCAGTGGGTGAGGCCAGCCGTCCTCTTTCTTCATTGCTTCTTTCCGCCTCCCTCTGAAGACTGACCACCTCGTACACAGCGTCGCTCTGACCCACTCTATCCGGTGCCTGCTGTGCACACATGCAGACACACAATCAGGATTTCTTTCATCTAAAAGGCAACAAATTTTCATAAATGTAGGCGATTTTTGAAACTGTGCAATCATACATTCATCAAAAATAGAAAATCATCCATCTTGAAAGAGTTAATGAGTGGAAATATGGTGTAGTAGGAAAGATTTACAACAAGTAAAACAAATAAACAGAACAACGGCTGCATGCAAATGAGGTATAGATCTGCCCGATATCATGAGAAATATGAGAATATAGACTCCACACACTCTATCGTGTGCTGCTTTAGCTGGCAGATACAAACCATGATCCAGATGTTTGCACAGAAACACAAAGCAAGTTTAAAACACCTGAAATCCGATTGATCAACAGCTCGAACGTGTAACATTTACAGTTGCTTGTAAGGGTTTGTTTCAGTGCCGTTTGTAGGCACAAGCTTTTTTTAAAAAGCCTTCTTTGTCAGTTATAATTATCATTATGACAAGTGTATGGGGGGGAAAAAATAAAAAGGCGAGCCAATCCGAAAAAAGGCTGTTGGCTGCTACACAGTCTAAACTGATTACCAGTTAAATAACTCGCAACAATGGACTGTCAGCCAGTTGAAGAGTGGGTTTACAGCTGCAGACTTTTAGTGTCTGCAATCAGAGTGAAAGTGCCTTGTGACTTTATTAAAGATATATTCAGGATTGTGTCAGAGATGTGGCCCTGCACTGACACCGTCCAACCAGCAGAGCCTTCCCTCACGTTTGTCCAGGACAGAAAGAAGCCAGAATATGTGCAGGTGTTGCTTTGGTGTGAAATCAACCTCAAAAGGACAATCAGCACGAACAAATGTAAACCCGACCGACAACAGGCCAGAGCTCACAGTTCCATCAAAGGGGACCAATACAAGAACAAGAGGCTGATATCTGAAGCTCCATCGGGGGTTTTGAGGCAGGAGCTCGGTGGTGGAGCCTCGGTTAAACCACTGACCTGGTGGTTGGAGGCGAGAAAAGCTATTTAAATGATCTGAGAGGTGCAAAATGAGAACTAGTATAGTGAAGGTTAAACGTGAAAGATGAAAGAAATCATATAGAACAAACTATCATGGATTAAAGTCACTATTCAGTTATTGATTGGACTTTTTAAATTTTTTTCTCTACCTGAGGTCATTTACAGGGATGAAAAACAGAATTAATAATTTAATCAATGCCTTAACAAATCGTTACAGATATTTAATCAGCGGCTGGCAAACCCCAGTGAGGAAATCCGTAGTGAATACCGGGCGTGCGTACAACAGGCAGAGATGTTCGGTTTCTAAAATGTTACTCAACACCTAAAAAAAGAAATGCGGTGAAGTTCAGCAACGTTCCCTTTTAACAGAACATTTAAATGTGGAGCGCAAAACTGTCTGAACTACTTAAATGCATCGCAACAGATTCAAGAAATGCACAAGATCATCTGATTGACCTTCGGTGTCAGAAGGAACTGATGATTATTTCTGGTGTGTTCAGCCACTCCGGAGCTGCTGCCCCTCTCCTCCACCTGGTAGAACGGATCAATGAGCGGTATTGATCCTCCCACTCGCATGGCATCTAATGACTAACTCAAGTCGGCGATGAGAACAGAAATTGGCAGAGAATATCAAGCCTGGCCTATTTTTAGAGAAAAATCCAAGGAGGCTTAGGTAACATAATTTGCTTTGCTACGTCCTCTGTGAGTGAATAGTTAACCCTACAGGATGAATTATTAACAGTGAGGACATTTCAGTAGAACTTTGGGCCAAAGAAGGTTCACTGTACAAACATGTCGTCCATTATGGATTTATAATAAAATAAAGAGGAGGTGAGGGGGGAACAGAACTAAACAGGATAATCCAATTCATTAGGTATTAACAACTCTCTGCTGAAAGTTATTGTGTGAGACAAGCACCATTTTATTTGAACTGCCTTAACAATAAATGGATCTCTGTGTCTTTTACTAATTTCCAACCACTGTCATCTCTCTGCAGGTGGTCCCATTAACTTCTGAATGTGGCCTCAAACTTTTATTTCCTCATCTTAAAAGGCAGACAAAATTATAACTGACATGTTGCTGATTTTTATTTCTGCATCTTTTTTAAAAAAAAAAAAAATGGAGCTCACTTGCAGAAACATTTAAGCTTAACTGAATATTTTATGTTTACATATCCGCCAATCCTTCAGCAGCTCCTAAAGGTTTATTATTTCTTTTGGAAAAGCTGGTTTGAGCTTGGGGCTGCAAGGTGGTTAGCATCGTTGCCTCGCAGCAAGAAGGTCACCGGTTCGCGTCCCGGTGAGGACACCTGGGATCTTTCTGCATGAAGACTCCATGTTCTCCCCGTGCAGCGTGGGTTCTCTCCGGGTTCTCC